TGTTTTATCTTTTTGGAAAGTTGCAAGTTGCAAATTAGTGCTCTTCTGTATCATCTTCAAAGCTATGACATAGTTGCCATCTGCTATCTGTTCACAGAACACAGAAGCAAAATATTTTAGCTCTAACATAGAGGACAAAGGTGCCCTACAACCTACTGAAGCTTCAGGTTGGTTGACTTCATACACACCAAGCAACCCTTTAGAAGAATTTAATTCCAAAAAGAAAAGGCTAAAGCACTGAATTAAATCCTGTTCTCTGAAAAGACTGAGAAATACTGCAAGAAGATGAAACAGAGCAAGAAGAGACTTTCTTTGAGATGCCACTGATAACATGGACAGGAAAGAAGGACTTACACCAGGCTGGTTACCTGGCCACAAAAAGATTGGTTTCACATGATTTGTTCTCAATGAACCTAGTATTGACTGTTGTTTGTCAGCCTGGCTAGCTATTAACACATTTCAAAAATGTATGTATTTATTTTTAGTCCGGGATCTGACTGCTCTGGAATTCCTTTGCCACATTCTTTTTCTGCCTCTTGAACACAAGCTCTTCTGGTGCCCTTTTCCAGTCTTCCTACAGTTCACCAACTAAAAGCTGAGAGCTAGGGCAGCAACTAAATGTTTTCTAAACACCTTAAATGTGAATTTTATTTAGGCCTAGCCCCTTTGAAAGCACTTAAGGAATTTAAATTCTCTGAGAAGGACTCTTTCCATGTTCTGTCATGAGCTCTCCTTTGTTGCTGGTGCTTGTTGAGTTAATTCTCAACTCACAGTGTAGGTAGAAGGTATACAATCTACTTTTAGCTTAAACTCAATTGCCACCTAAGTGCAAGCTGGGTTTCATCTAACTCAAGTTTTACAACTTTCACCATCTTCCCAATGAAACAGGAGTTTGAACGACAATGTATCATTTGTGGAACAAAGTATCTGGTGTACTATTTGGAACAAAGTCATGCACACCTCCGGAAGACAGCGTCCAAGGCCCTGGTTCTCTAAATCACTTCAACTTAAGCAGAGCTCCTTGAGAGCATGGCAGCCTCTCCAGGCTGATCCAGTTGCATCTGAAGTCCCAAACCAAAGCAAGGCACAAGCCAGAAGGAGGTCAGATAGAGGTGTATTGTTGGGTCACACAGGTGACCTAAGAGCTTGTCTCTACACACAGCTATTTTGTATTCCTGATTTATGTATACATAGATGTTCTTATTTTGAGTAAACCATTGTTTAGTTGAATCCAGAGTAAATTAAGCAGGAACAAGTCCATGTGGAATAAAGCCCTGAGAACAGACTTGGTGTCCCATGTATTTTGAAAGTAATTAAATGTCTCTACAGATTCTTTTTAAATGGAGCTTTGCAAAGACAAGACTGACTACTGCTATTATCCGAGCTTTAAAACACATTGTCCTCTATCTATTGCCTAACCCGCTAGATTAAACAAACATACGCTAACTGCCTGGGACAACCAACTTGAGTCTGATAGTCAGCATAACAAACACACACGGGCTTTATTAACCTTTAGATATGTGATAGGCATGAAGGTCACGACGCTGATCAGAATAACCTCTTTGCCATCGTGTTACCTACCAAAAGGTGCAGATTCCTTCCCTCCAAGAGCATCATCTCAGTAACACAGTAAAGCTCTTCAGCCATCGGTCCGAGTCCCGTGGTACCTGCAATTAGATCCACAAAAGGATTCAGGCACTGAAATCTGTCACCGGGATCATCAAAGCTTCTACTCCCAGGGGCAACTAAAAACCAGGGACGTTTCAGTTCTTGGCAGGGTGGTTTCCCAGAGCCTGAGCCACCTTGCTTCAGAGCGTGCCTGGGCACACACCAGCCCCGAGCAGGACGCGCAGATGGGGGGTTTGTCCTCCTCTGCCGAGGGACCCCCGCTGGGTTCCCTGCGCAGGAGGCAAGGCAGGACCCCGCTGCCGGTGCTTCCCTCCCCGGGATTGAATGCTTAACTGTCACAGTGCACGCAGCCCCCCCGTGACACGCATGCTGCACCCCGCTACCGCCCTTGGGGGCTGCTGCGACACTGGGGGGGGGGCCCGCTCCCCCCGGCGGGAGCTTGCAGGGTGCCCCTGAGGGAAGAGTGGCCGCCGGACACCCCACCCGGGGCGGGGGAGCCGCCTTCTACAGGTGTCAGGAGAAGCAAGGGCCGGGCCCCGAGCGTTGCCTCAGCTCTGAACCG